TAGTAGACAGTAATAATCATCTTACACTCACGCAAGTATAACATGTGAACAGAAATATACATCTGACAAAAAATACTTAAAATAAATTATCCTAATTCACTTGTTTGCTATTGTTTAATCAAAACTCTTTAGTAGAATTTAGTATATTTGTTTCATGTTTTAGTGCATCCCCTCAATCTACTCATAGAAAATTGTATTCTTTATRTTTTTCAGATTATGGACAATTTACTCATCCAGGTTTGTGGCCGTAAAAGAGTAATTCTKTTTAGCCCTCAAGATGCATCAAATCTTTATCTAAATGGTGACAAATCTGAAGTGTTGGACATTGAAAACCCAGATCTGAAATTATACCCAAACTTTTCACATACTGTGCCATACGAATGCCATCTTGATCCGGGTGAWATTCTCTTTATTCCATCATTGTGGTTTCATAAYGTCTTATCTATTGACTTTGGGGTAGCAGTAAATGTATTCTGGAGACATCTTGATTGTGAGTTATATGACAAGAAAGATATCTATGGCAATAAGGATTTGATCCCAGCGACACAAGCTATGCAGATGATGGACAAAGTCATCAAGAATTTAMACAAACTGCCAAAGGAATATGAAGACTTTTATGCCAGAAGAATTATTAGTAAATTGGAGAATAAGTGCTTGTTGGYGCCATCAAATCAACAAACTTCTACAGAGAAATATGAATCATTGAAATAATATCATCAGACATTTCAATTTGGTCTAGCCTGAACTAAAAACATAAACAAAACAAAACAAAAACAAAACAAAACAAAGCAAACAAAGAAAAAAGACAAATCTGAAAAAACAGGAAAATAAATTCAGATTCTGATCAAATCATCTCTAACAAATTATTGATGAAAAAAATACCCTGCAAAATTGTGCATTCCTTTATTCACGTGAAGGGAACGTACAGGGGTTTTATAAAGGGGGATTCTAGCCAGCGGTCCTAAACTATTGGACTATCTGAAAAATGTGTTGCCCTTTTGACTTGGACTTACATGTAACATCTGATGTTTCAAGTCTTTGTCTGCCAAGGAATTGGGTTTCCCAAACTCTGGGAACCCCCTGCATCTGGGCATGGAGAGTAGAGGTACTGAGAATGTCTTATCTAAGAAGTGAAGCAGTCAACACTATTATTTATAAACAGAAAGAAACCTGATTTAAAAATAGATATTTAATAGTTTTTCTAAGGTGTTATAATGCAAGATTAGATAACAGATTTTGGTGTCAATTGGCATTACTGTGATTTTACAGTAAAAACATTATAGGAGTTCCAGTAAGAGATTAATGTTTGTGATATTGTAATCCACAAAATAAAGATTTGGAAAGATCCAGAATTTTCAGTAAGAGGCATGCAAATTTACAGTTCAATTTACAGTTACAATCTCAACCATGAGATACAAGGATATAACTGGGGAAGGGGGGAGGGGAGTCCTCAAATGGATTGTATCTGGACTTGAAACTAGAGTTTTGATGTCTCAAACCTGAATTACTACTATGCTATCACAATTTTGACAAAGGAAAGCAATATTGAGATTGTACAAGAGCTTTTTTAAAAGGATTTCTGACACTGATGCCTTCTCTCAAAGTTCTTCAATAATTTTGCAAACATGGTCCTTGACGTAGAACTTTTGCAGTATAATAACTGAATTTTTAAATTAGGTTCTCATGGTGTTCTTGTCAATCGGCTATTTCTAATTCATCTAATTCCAATTCATCGATATCTTCATCAAACAAACTTTCTTCTATAGGAATTCCATCAACAACTGGTGGACTTTCTTGAGCATTTTCTGATGTTGTGCCTCCACAAGCTTCATTAAGTCCATTGACATCTGCATCTTTTGTGTCAGGGACCTACAAAACATTACAATGAAACAGTTCATTATGTGCAAAAGGTTAATTTTTAATGTAATAAAGAAGAGACTGGCGAAGGACAATAAATATAATTAGCTATAATTTCTAGACTATACAGGAGCCAATTGTTTTATTTGGATTTTATAGTATATTAAGTGGGCTATTTACCCCATTTGTTTGCTGTTTTTCTGTAATTCTTTCTTTGGCTATTGAACCACTTCCATCAGCTTCTCTTGCAGCAGCAGCCATTGCTTCTACTGACACATCTACGACATTGACTTCTTCTTCATCTTCATCCTGAAAGATGTATTCATGTAAAAAATGCTTCTTTTCATGAGACAACTTTATGTTTCTTTTTTATATCAATACAAAGTATTCAAGGTGAAATACTAACCTTTTTCCTATAAATACTGATGTCTTCTGTTTCTCCTTCGTCGTCAGCATCTTCACCAACAAGCTCTGGCTTAAACTGAAACACTTCACGGCCACTAACCTATACAATGAAAACTATGTCAGTAGAAATGGAAATTGTATATGTAAGACTTGATTATACAGACCTTGCCAACGATTCTGCCAGATTTGAAATCATCTTTTTTCTTTTCTTGTTCCTTTTCATATGCTTCCTTTTTTTCTTTTAACTACAATTAAGCAGAATTGCAATGGTGTTAGGCTGATATTATCAACATGAAAATTACTATAAAMAATCCCTCTTCATCATAAGATACAAGTTGCTCAAGCATGTGCCGTCCCAACCAGGAATCAGAATAAAGTCCAAAGAGGTGATATGTCTGACCCTCTCCACTCTTTCACTGTTTCTTAGATTTAAAGCTTATTGAACTACACAAAGGCATGAAACAATGACTACTAAACCAACCTTGCGTTGTTTCCATTGTAAAAATGTTTCTAAAGTGATTTTAGTTAAGTTGGGACCAAGTTTTTGTCTCTATAAAGGTAAAAAGGCAAATTAGGGATATTAAAATAACAATATGAGACAATAGTAAAACTATTTGATATCTTATCATTTACCTCAGTTTCAATAAATTCTTCTATAGAAATTTCCTCTTTATCTTCTTTTTGTTCTTTCTTTTTTAGTATAAACCCAGGAGGAAGGGCATGTCTGTATATACATTTATTACCATTGGGACAACTCCAGAACCAACCATACAAGTTTTTTTCGACAGCCTCAAGGAAGTATTTACATACCTTCATGTAAACAAAAGGAAAAAACTTTATTAAACAGGATTCTTGTTGTTAAATGAAGAAGATACGTATTGTTTATCAAAAATACATGTGACTGTATACAGAAATGCAATTTTAGTATTTTATGATCAATCTAAACAATTATGCCTACACGATAAACTCCAAGAGCATCAAAGTATACCGCATGATAAATAAACTGATTGTAATTGCATACGCAATGCATGGATCACGRAAATCGAGCAGCGGGAAAGCACTTTAAATTCGAAGAAAGCTGTGTTTGCAAGTGACGATCACAAAGAGAAAAGTTTATTTTCCATCTTTTTTCCCCTCAAAAACGTTCCCAAAACTTGGGGTGCGGCTTATCTACGAGAGTGGCTTATACATGAGTAAATATGGTAATTAAMAAAAATTATTTTGTTGGACGTTTTTTTACAATAGGTCTCTTTAAATTTCTTAGCAAAAGGTAAGACAAAACTGCTCTTACAAAACTTAGTATCAGAGGGTAGA